CTGATCCCACTTCCCTATTCTTTCTTTTTTTTTTAAAAAAAAAAAAAAAAAGAATTGAAAAAAAAGAAAAAAAAGAAAAAACCGTCCTTGCAGCTTGGCGTACACTGCGTACGGATACGTTCAGCGAACAGTCCCTGCAGCCGCAAGGGGGAGGGGGTTGGATGGCTACTGTGTGTATAAGGTAAAATCTTGGCAGACTTCCATCCGTGCCGGGTAATCTCGCTAGGTACCTAGAGTAGAGACGTCCAGTGGCTCCCGCTGGACGTCGGCCCATCGGGAAGTGGGGCCTGTCAGTTGATTGGCTACCTTGTACTACCTGTACCTACAAACCTTACCTACTGGACCTGTCCGCAGAATCCTGAGCCATTTTTAGCATGTAATTAGGGGAATAGTGGTCTGGAGTACTCCGTACGGAGTATATCGTATTGTCCGTGCTGCGCGCAATGGGGCGTGCAGGATGAGGTGGCCAGATGAAACTGTCTTCCCTCAAAGCTGGTGCTAACCCAATTAGGTTGATGCCACGCCCCGATCAGCAAAGCAACGCAGCAGAAGACAGACGAACGGTATAAAACTAGGCTTTTGGCATTTTCGTTTACATCTACATTCACATTTACATTCATATCCAGGAGGTAACCGCACGCCTACATCCTTTCCAGATTATCCCACAGGATGGAGCTGGCAGGGGCAGTAAAACATATAGAACCCGTCGGGAAAACGCATCGGCGATCTAACAGTAATCAAGAGCGCGCACGAGCCAATCGTACCGAGGTCCCGAGACCTTTTCGCGGGTCTTCCAATCCGTTCGCGTATCCATGCCTGTTCGTTCAGGGATGCTTGTCGTGCTTGATCAGACCTGTGGGCGCCGCCCCAGTGGCACCCAGGGTGGGGCGTATGGAGCCGCTAAGATGAAACTCTAAACCAACGACATGGGGGGGCCGACTGCGCCCATCAATCGTCAAAGTATCGCCCTATATCAATTCTCGGCCGTTGAGGGAGACATTCTGCACGCAATTCGCGCCATTGCCCGAATCGGTCCGGCTCACGTCGTGACCCTGCTAGCGCGATTCCATTGTCCCGCCGGAGCGAAGCTTTAGGACAGCGCCGAGCTGTAGCACCGAGCAGTAAAATCCGGGGTGGGAGGAAGGGGTTGAAATGATGTGTGGGGATTGGCGCGCACAAGGTGTATGCTTTGCCCGGTCCGGCAGTTTCGGCAAGTTTCCACATTCGTGTTCGGAATTCTCGTCGTGTGAGTGAACGAAGAAAAGAAGTACGGGGGGGGGGGGTCTCGAAGAACCCGTATAGAGCTAAGTTCCGACGGTCCGGTGTACCCCTTCTCGGAATTGGGACAAGCTGTTCGCCTATCCGTGTAGGCAGCGGCGTATAGCGCATAGATGACGTCCCGCGGCAGGCTGCTGCTACCGGCTCTTTGCTGGCGGAAAGTCAGGTTTGCGATTCCGAATCTACCTTGCGTAGGGGCCTTTTCATGGGCCTCGACGACTACCCGTTGCGTGCTGGATCGTCTCGACGGCGTCGTCCGCAGGCCAAGGCCAACCTCGGCTGTCGGCCGTGTTCGTACCGCCCAGGCTTGGTTGCTTGAATAGCTCGAATGGCTCAATTGGCCCGGGTGGCTCGAGTGGCGCGAATGGCTCGAACGGCTCGAATGGCCCGGAGCTCACCACGTACAGCCCCAAGCTTGAGCCGGCGTAAAAATCCAACACAGGCTGACTTCCTGGCTCTGGTCCCGTCACAGAGCCCGTTTCCGGCTCATAGACGCCTCTTCCCGTGGTGGTGGAGATGGGGCTTGTGGTGGCAAACCACCTGTACGCGCTTATCTCGTGGATGACGTGCGCGGGATCCGGTACTAATCCCGCGCGCCATGTTGTTAACGTCGCCGAGCGCCCGTTCTCGGCCTCGGCGCGCTCTCGTAGAGTCTCCAGACCACTTGCGGCCGTTGGCAGACACGCGGGCTGCTGCGGTGGGGTAAGCTCCTGATGCGCGGCGTAAGAGGGGTTGTTGTTGTGGGTACGGAGGGGCGAAGGTACCGTCGAACAGCCGATGGACGGTTTCGTCTCGCTGCCGCCGGCGTAAGCGATCTTCCCGGGGAGGGGCAGGTGCATGGCGGCTGTGGAAGAATGACGGCTCGAGGAGGGTTCACAATCGATGTTGCGGCTACAACAGCGGGTGCACGGTTTGACCTCGTCGCACTTGACACGGGCAGCAGCGCATTGCCGGCAAGCGTAAGACACACGACGAGGGCCGGGTGAAGGTCCCGCGTGGTGGTTTCGCTTGCTGCCGTGTTTTCGCTTGCTAGCGTGGTTTTGGCCGCCGCCTGCGTGCCTGGCAACGTGGCGCTTCAGCAGATCGGTTCTGGCAAACGCCTTGGAACATATAGGGCATGCACAGCGCTTGCTGGAAGTGTAGGTGCGGATGTGTCGTGCGAGATACGCAGGGCGAGAGTACCGTCGCTGGCAGTGTGGGCACTGGTAGAGGCCGGCTGCCGCGGCGTCGTTCCGGTCGGCCGGAGCTGAGGCCGGAGCTGAGGCCGGGTCAAGGGGGGATGCCGGCTGATCCTGTTGCGTGATCGGGTCGGCGACCGACACATCAGACGGCGCTAAACCGACCGAACCCGGAGCAGGTGCTAGGGGTCTTGTGTTGACAGCCGCACCCGGCGGTGATGACGGCTGCGCGTCCAGTGGGATGTCGTTGTTAGAGAAGTCCATGCAGGCGATCTGCGACCTAAAACGGCGGCCCGTCGTCGGTTCCAGCAGAGAGTCGGGCGTGCAGGGGGGGCGGGCGGCGCGCAGCGCTGGAGGGATCTGACGGCGTGACATGCCGAGATGGTGGCGTCGGGACACGTATGTACGGTGTATCGTACCTTGCGGTCCGTTAGGCTGGGATTGCCGAGTACGGCGCCGGCGGACGACCCTTAGGGGCAGAGGATTCGGCGGTAAGAGACAAATGCGGCATGAGGCGTCCGAAAAGGGAGAGGCGACGATGAGATGACGATGGAAAAGTGGTCTCTACCTGCAGCGTGCTGTCTATCTCCTTAGGAGCCTGGCCTGCCTGGGTAAGGTATAAGTGGGTAGGGATGGTGCGCTGGACCTTGTTGGGTGGGCAGACGTTGCTCAGTCACACTGCGTTCGAGTGGCGGCTGTTGATGAGTTTACTGCTGGTAGAGAGATGGGAGCATGGTTAAGTAAAGAGAGGTTATGAGGGACAAAGCCTCGCATTGACTGACCCTAACAGACCGCATGTGTTCGCGGACAGCAGCAATCGAACCAGTACCAAACTCAACTAAACGACGTGATGCTAAACCCATCCCTACGGTCACAGCGCGATGGGCAGCGAAACACATAGCTGGTATACTGACGACAGGGGGTGGGTGTCTCTCCACCAAGTCCGTCCAGGTGCCCAGGTGCCCAGTCGCGCAAGCGCCCGGGATCGGAGCGACCTGATTGTGCGGATACGCAGCAGTGTCCGCCACAAAAGGGAAGGCCCCTGGGGCTGGGGTTGGCCTGTCACGATTTGGACCCGACCTCCGCCCGTACCGCGCAGGGATGAAGAATCGCAGAGATCAGAGTAGTTATGTACCGCTTGTCGTGGTCGCGACGCAAACAACGTCGCAGGACGACTATCTGCGGGCGTCTTTGGGTCCAGCAACAAGTCTTTTTTTTTTTCCTGTTCCCCCCTCCCAAAAACAAAGCAGGTAGTAAGGTAGCTGGTGGAGTCCTTGAAACAACGGCCATCTCCGAACGGATCAGGGTCCGCTGTGCTTCGCCGGGTCAGGCCCGGCGAATCGGTCGCGGCTGTGACGCCGGCGGGCAGAGCGGGCAGCTAGTGGGGTTAAGCACAGCCAAGACCACCTAACTCCAACTGACGGGTGAGAGCCCAAGGGTCTTGCAGGGTTGCGTTGAGCCTGCCTGTCCACAACGTATCCGCGTCGGGGGGATCATCCATTCTTCCCCTGGTGTGAGCAGAATCTTGAGCCAGAGCCTCTCGACTTTGCGCACGTGAACACTTGTTCGCGTGGTCAACTGTCGACCGTCTCGTCCGCCCGCGGCGCCCTAGCTAGCGATATGGAGGTGGAAGACGTCCATTCACAGTTCCCAACAGAACCCCTATGGATAGGGCGAGACGAACCAGCCGGGGACATTCACATGTCCTTTAACGCTCGGTCCACGAGGTTACTAGATGGCGGGATTAGGACTCATCTGTTGTCGTCTATGAACCAGGCGTAATCATCATGAAAACCGCCCAAGCAAAGTCGTTAGGCGATGGCAGGCTTGAGCCTATAGAAATAAGACTACCTAGCTATCTACTATAGGGCTAACCTCGGTTTAAGTGGTGTAGAATCCCCTTGGAAACAGCATGTATACGAGCGACTTCGCATCAATGACCCCGTTGTGACACACACAACAGGTTCTCACCCCTCGCCTACCGGTCCCCGGACGAAGCATACAGTGTCGACGGCTGATCCTGATGACGAGGAAGCCCAAGGCTTCTGCCTGTCTAATGATTGCCTGCTCGGCGGGCCATGGGGCACGCGCGGCCGGTGCTCGCTGTCGAGCGGACCGTAATGACTTGTCGCAGGAGGGGTCGGGCGGGGAGCAAACACGGCTGCTGCAATTACCTTAGCCATGGTAACCGGATTCCGGAGGGCATTGCCTTGCTCGGAAACTACCTATCCAGTCGTATTGCGGGGGATTGCGAGAGCAGAAGCTTATGTGGGCAGGGCGACTGCATGTCATGTATCAACAGCGGGTTTATTCTTCGAGTAAGAAGTATGACTTAATCTTTAAACAAAATATAAAGCGTAAATATGAGAAGCCGCACGTTCCACGGTGTTGCGTTTCGTGAGCGCGTCTAAAAGTACCCCCACGCGGACGCTACTAAAGAACAGGTATATATCTACAAGCCGATCGCAATAAGCCGATGTGTGGGAGCCAAGCTGCTCAAGTGCCGAGAGCCGCGCTCCCGTCCGGTGCCTTGTTAAGTTGGCCCTATACGGACTCCGCGGCAGTATCATCAGCAGCGGCCTTCTTGGCAGCAGTCTTCTTTAAGGTGGTCTTCTTAGAACCGGTTTTGCTCGCGGAGGTCTTTCTGGAAGATGCCCCGCCGGTAGAAGTCTCGTTAGCTGAAGTCTCGTCGGCAGTAGTCGCGCCGGTCGTGGTCTCGTCGGCGGTGGTCGCGCCGGTAGAGGTCTCGTCGGCGGTGGTCTCATCAGCAGCAGTCGCTCCAGTGGAGGTCTCATCAGCGGTGGTCGCGCCGGTGGAGGTCTCATCAGCGGTGGTCTCATCAGCAGCAGTCGCTCCAGTGGAGGTCTCATCAGCGGTGGTCGCGCCGGTGGAGGTCTCGTCGGCGGTGGTCGCGCCGGTAGAGGTCTCGTCGGTGGAGGTCTCATCAGCGGTGGTCGCGCCGGTGGAGGTCTCATCAGCGGCGGTCGCGCTGGTGGAGGTCTCGTCAGCGGTGGTCTCATCAGCAGTAGTCGCTCCGGTGGAGGTCTCATCAGCGGTGGTCGCGCCGGTGGAGGTCTCGTCAGCGGTGGTCTCATCAGCAGCAGTCGCTCCAGTGGAGGTCTCATCAGCGGTGGTCGCGCCGGTGGAGGTCTCGTCAGCGGTGGTCGCGCTGGTGGACACCTTCTTCGTGGAGCCTTTGGTGGTGGATCGCTTCTGGACTTGAGCCTCGTCTACGGAAGACCCGTCGGCGGTCGTCTCGCCGGTAGATCCCTCGGCGCCTGAACCCTCTTCGCCCGAGAAGCCGTCGGCGGCAGTCCCATCGGCAGCAGTCCCATCGGCGGCAGTCCCATCGGCGGCGGTCCCGTCAACGGCATTCCCGTCGGCGGCAGCCCCGTCGACGGCGGTGTCGTCGGCCGCGGTCTCATCAAGGGCGGTCTCGTCAGCCATCGGCTGCTTCGCAGGAAGACCCCCAGAACGAGAGTCCCCGGCGGCCGTTTGGGATGACGCGGGGCGTCTTGTAAAAGGCCGTCCGGAAAAGGGCCGTCCGCTAGAGGGCCGCCTGGTGGAGGGCCGCCTGGTGGAGGGCCGCCTACCAAAGGGGCGCTTGGCGGCGGTCAGCTGGAGTCGGTCGATAGGTAGGGCTTAACATACCTTGAAACGGCTGAAGAAGGATCCGGACTTCCTGCCCGTGGCTCTCCTCGAGAGTGCGTCGCCTTCCCAAAGTCCGTCTTCGGCTGCGGCTTCAGAGCTCGGGGAGACACTGTCTACCTGATATCGGACACTGGCGTCTTGACCCTCAGGCCCTAGTGCAGCGAGATGCCCGGAAAGAGGTCCGCCAGCAGCTTGAACCTCCGCTGGTGGCATTCCCCCGCCTCGGGTGACGTGCATCCCGTTCGCGGGGGCCCCATGGCTAGACAACACCAATAGAGAGGCGCCAGATAGAAGCACGAGGAGTGGACGCGGTCCGACCATGTTGGCAAAGAAAACTAGAACGAACGTGGGTGAGTGTGGGTAGCGAGTGGCAGGCTTTGAAGGTCAGTTAAAGGAAGGACAAGAGAGAAATATGGCTGTTGTGGTGGCTGGTTGCTGTTTGGGCAGGAGAAGATCTGGCTTTTGGTAGTAGATATATACTGCTTCCCGTCAGCCTCTAGAACATGGAACATGCCACAGTGACCCAGACTACCTCCGCCTCCTCTCCCTTTGATGAGCCTGCTTCGTGGGATATCCGCGGCGGGGGGCAGGGCACACTGGCCAGTCCGATCAAGGCGCCCGGTGACATCGGAATTGACGAAGAACGGCATCAGCGGACGCATGGGTCACGACGACTGGGCTTCCCTTCTTCGCGTGAGCCGTCGCCCGACAAGGCTGCCTCGTAGCAAGCAACCGACTGACGGCCTCACCGGACGTTTGGTCAGGCCAATCTGACGAGCCGGAAGTCACTCGACGGGACGACGGAGAACCCGAATGCCAGGCGGTAATATGTTTAGAGAGCCTTTCTTTCGTGTGCGGGATGCGGTTGACTGTCTTCTAGCTGGTCTCGCAGGTTCTCGAAATAGTAGACCTTGCTGCCGACACGTATATTATACCCACCGCCCTCCACCGGAGCGTAATTAGTCTTCCGGGTCTGCGGAGGCTGGGCAGGGCGTGCCTGGCCGTGACTCGTTAACGAAGACCGGGTATAGCATCAATCTGCACTCGGCCGGGGAGGCCAGTGTCGGCAGATTCAACGACATCCCGTCTAGTGGGCCGCAAGTGGGGCCCTCTGGCCGCTAGGAACTATGTTGGTCTCGCCGTCGGACAACCCGAGGGCCGCAACAGAAGTGGTAGAGAGTGCGGCGGGTCTGTTGTCCAATCCACAGGGCCTCCTCTTCGCTCAAACAGCAGCATAGCCTTTGTCCAGCACTGTAGAGGCGCGTGTAGTCCACGTAGGCCTAGCCTGTGGCATACGTAGAAAAGTCGCTAGTTTATAGCTAGGCAAGGTCGGTGACAGGTCAGTCGAGGAGGACGCCAAAGGCGATAGGTCGTGCATCTAAAAGTAGACGCTAGAGCTTGTTTTCACGAAGCATCGGACCTCCCGACGACTGCTTTGTCCGTCTCTTGGCTGCTGGGTGCGGGTGACTCTGACCGTGTTGTCCCTGCCTCCTCCACAACCACGTCCGAGGGGGCCGGAGGCTGCAAACAACAGAGGTCGTCACGTCCCACTCGGCTCCGCCTAGGATGACTTGCGCAGGCCCCTTTGTGTGATAAGTCTGTCAGTAGACTGCAAGCATGCTGCTGGGCGATATACGCATCTAGGTACTACAAAGCGTTAACATAAGCAGAGAGGACCAATAAGTGCAATACAGCCGCAGCTTGCGTTAGTAGGACGAGAATCCATGGGTCAAATAACATGAAAACAAATTTAAGAAGGTGGGTGGTAGTGTATGTTCCCATGGCCATGGCCCATTCGGAAGTCTAACAGTACTGGGAGCCCTTTTTTTTTTTTTTTTTTTTTTTTTTTTTTTTTTTTAAGTAAGAAGACAGGAAATTAATTAATTCATCAACGTTTTATCGGCGAAAGGCAACGTGTGTAAGTATACTGAATTCCTTAAGGTGCGTTACATTGCAGCCCCCACCGAGACCGCTCGGGCCGTCCCGCGCACATTCAAACCGTGGACTGCAACCTCGTCCATGCTTGTACACTACGCCAGCTAAAACAACAGGAAACTAGACACAAGCCATCCTCGGTACACTCCCCGATTGGATTACTTCCGCCAGCCATCCGAACAGCCCGCCCGGCCGCCATCCGTCCAATGACCGTCAGCCCTACCTTACTACGTCTAGCCCCACACGGTGTGGCCAGGGGTGCCGTCAAACAGCCAGCTGACGAAGCCCGGCTCCTGGTTCGGCGGGACACCGACGATCTGCGGGGGTGGCACCGCGTGGAGACGCGCGCCGTTATCGACTCCGAGGAGCTCTCTGGCCTTAGCGACCAGGGGCGACCTCAGGCGGACGAGATGCATAATCACTAGCTGCCGCAGATCGTATGTCAGGTCCTGCTGGACGTTAACGAGGGCCCCAGGGGTCTTCTCAATGATCCAGCTAATATCCTTCATGTCCTTGTCGTTCTTATTGCGATGGTCTGCGGCTAAAGCGTAGACCTTGGACTTGAAGATCTTTCCAAGTCTCATCACGTGGATGTTCAGCGCCTTCTTGGCCCTCGTCTCCTTTTGGATATCCTTTGAGTTGGCTCTGAGATTTTCGGGTGTCGTGAGCGTGCCTGTGATGTACGTCAATATCGCTCCACCAATCAACGAGCCCATGGCCTGGGGGGGGGGGCAAGGCAAGGCAAGGCAAGGCAAGGACGCAGTAAGGTAAAGCTTACCTGCGATGATCATGTCAACCTCAATATACTTCGGCTTAGACGAGCTCCCTTGGTTGTGGTAGACCCGCAGGTGGGAATCGCTTGGCCATCCGGGGCCGGGGAGAATGAACTTCTTGTCCTTGCTCAGCGCTGTCTTGAGCTTTGACATCGTTGTCTGGACGACGATGTCGATGTCGCCGGTATAACGGCTGGGCTGGCCGTGGATCTTCAAGGCAAGGCCGCCGGCGACGGCCCAGGGGATCTTGTTCCGGTCTAGAAGCTGGCTGAGGGTGTCGAGGCTGTCCATGAGGTGGAAGAAGTTGACGTCGGATTCCGACTCCTTCTGGAGCATTGCCGCCTCCTGTGGACTGAACCAGCCCTTCTTGATGTCTCTGCCGACGAGCGAGCCGGCTGTGGAAAGATGCACGCGCGCCCCGGCGTCGTCCTCGTCCCCGAGGTCGTCCCGTTGGGGAGACGGCCCGGGGGCGAGGTCTCCTGCCGATGACGGCAGGGCGGGGGCGGCGAGGCCCGGAACATGTTGCGTTGAGAGCGGTGCGGCCGAGACCGACGCCGCCAGGAGACAGCTTAGGGTGGCAAGAGACCAGTGCATGACGAAAACGAGCGAGGGAAACGATAGAAAAGGGATTGATGGGGAAGGCGAAGCCTGTAAACGACTAAAGGAGCGTGAAGTTGGATTTCGCGGGGAAGGGACGCCTTCAATGTAGGGACCTGCAGCACAACGTGTCGGGGGTCTTCGAGGTGAGATCGAGGACGTTGCGCAGACCGGAGGGGTTAAGTAGTGAGAGAACAACGCTTGCAACGCACCGTGTTCCGCGGAGGGCTAGGAGTTTCACGGTTCCCCCCCTCAAGCGAATGAGCTTTCTGGTGTTTTCGGCACTTTGACAACAGCAATAACCAGGCCTAGAGACTGGGTCCGGTCGGGGATCTCAGCAAAAGGCTGACGGCGGCGTCTCCGAAGGCTGAGAGCCCACTTCGTCGGTACGGCTGCCCGGACGGCAATATCCGATCGAGAGCCACCACACACGCTTGTGTCTCTCATCCTCTTCGAACGAGGATGCTGTGGGAGGGAGGCATGTTGCGATGCGCATGTTGCGATGCTTTCCTCGTCCTGAGCGCAGCCCCAGTGAGCACTCGAGGAGGGCTCTTCCCCGCAGCGGACTGGCTGCCAGCTCGGCTGAAGGCGACCACGGCCCCCTCCCCTCCCCACCCCCCCCCATGAGAGCCAAGACCCTAGGCCCCGGTGTCAACGGGATTGAACTCGGACGTAAATGTTCGTTCAGCTGCAAGCAGCGGCATACGGAAAGTCCTGCGGTGTCGAGATGTTCTAGACGGCGGGCTGACCGTCTGGTCCAGCGTTAATATCTCCTCCTCACTCTATAGCTAGGCTCCTCCTAGCTCTGGAGACGCCGACATATTTAGGAATATCATTGATCAGTCGAACGCACGCGTGATATCCGGATAACTTTGTAGCCAGCCGTCGTGCGAGAGCTTCACCTCTCTCCTACACCTCTCTCTCCTTCTCTGTTTCACCCTCCCTCCTCCTCTCCTTCTCTCCTCTACTCTCCCTTATCTCTCCTCTACTCTCCCTTATTCTCTCTCTCTATCTCTCTCTCCCTCTCTCCCTCTCTCCCTCTCTCTCTCTCTCTCTATATCTCGCAGTTACTCTGCTCACCATCGTCTTCAATCACCAAGGCGATAACACCCACGTCCTAACATCATGTCTCTCGAGAGGGACGCCGCGAGGCTGTACAGACCGCTGCGCACGCTTTGTGTCTTATTGATATTCGCCCTCTTCGCTGGTAGCTCTCTTGCCGCCGTCGCCGCCGCCAGCCCCGTTCCAGGAGGTGCACCTGTTGAACCAGAGGGCTTGGAAACGGATGCTTGGAACAGCAGTGTTGCGGCTGAGGCGTTGGTCGCCCGGGGTATCCAGCGCCCGTCTACCGCCGCGGACTCTCAGGTCAGAGAGGTCATTGAGATCCTGGCCGGCGCCCCGGGCAGCAAGATCCCCGGCCCGTCCCAGGCTTTGAAGGCCGTTGAGACTCAGCTGCAGAGGGGCCTCCAGGCTCGCGGCAGGAACAAGGGGAAGATCGAGGTCTTCTTCATCATCTATGGCGGGAGCAACGGCGACGTCCCCCTGCTCTCGTCGGTGCTCCAGGGCATGCTCGACAGACCGGCCATCTTCGACGTCAAGCACGCCATCGTCCTCGGCGACAGCTACCGGGACTTCTTCCCCGAAGGTCTCAAGGCCAAGTTCGCCAATGACAACCGAGAGTGGGCCTCGAAGACGAACCCGCCCCGGCGCGACCAGGCGGTCGCCATGTTTATGCAGAAAATGGCGTCCATCCTCCACGGTTGGTCGCCCGACCTCATCGTCGCGAGCCACTTCATCCCCCCCTCCGCTACAACACCGGACCAGCGCCGCCAGATCCAGCAGCTGACGGCGCCCACCCGGGACCGGATCCTCGTCGAGCTCCAGGTCTTTTACCTTCCCGGCATCCGCTCCACCGCCCTCACGAAGAAGGACATCAAGCCCAACCATATCCGCATCTACGCACAGCAGCCCGAGATCTGGGACAGCTCATCCCCCAGCGCCGTCGGGGCGGCCATGGTCGGCAAGCTACCCCGGCTGTCGGCTCGCTCCAGCACGGCCAGACCGGGCCGCCAGGGAGAGGTGTACTCGTGGATCGACAAGCAGGGCAAGCGGCCCATCTTCTACATGGGAATGGGTATGAAGGAACGCCCCTTCGACAAGGATCACGCCTTCCCGGCATTCTTCGAGGTCGCCAAGCAGGAGCTGGCCGCCCTCACCGACTGGAGCTTCATCATCCTGCACAACGTCAAACGGTCCGAGTCCAGCTTCCGGCGCGTCACCCACAACGGACGCGTCTTCCACCTGTTCGTGGGCGAGACGTCGTGGGCCACGCTGTTCCCGGAGATGTCCCTGGTACTGACCCACGGCGGCGTCGGCTCCATGACGGACGCCATCGCCGCGGGCGTCCCCCAAATCATCCTGCCGACGGACTACGCCGCCGACCAGACGTACTTCGCACGTCGGCTCGAGAGGATGGGCGTCGGCATCGGCCTGCCGCAGATCCCCTACGCCGCGCTCTCCAAGACGGACTACGTGTCCGTCAAGGAGATCCGGGACGCCTTCTCCAAGATCAGGACCAACAGGAAGCACTACACGGACGGCATCAGGCCGTTCCGGAAGAACCTGGCTGATACGAATGCCCTCGACAATACATTCGAGCTCGTCGAGAGGATGTGCGCGGGCTTGGTTGCCAGGACCTAGTGCACCAACGCGGGACCCAGTCGGTGGACGGCCATGGAATGCTGGATGGGCCTCATGCTCTGTCCAGTAGCAATATACTAGGTACCTTAGCCAATGAAACATTAGTACAATGATATAGTGTTCGCGTAAAGACCTTGTCGTCCTCTGGACATTAGTGAATGCTATTCCTACCTAACTTGGTTGGCGTTTGGGAGTATATTGAGTTGAAATGGTCTAGCTAGAGGCAGGTTTGCTGTAACTATTATTGGTCTCCCGTCCCCAGGCTTCCCTTCCACTGGGACGGGCCATCTCCTAGGAGTGGGGCTGGGGGCCGGGGGGTTTGTGTGACCAGGGTGGAAAGATTAGAAGATATACGACGAGTGCTTGGTATCAGTCTGGTCTGTTTATTAGTAATACTACTTAAATGCTACTGGAGTACCGGTATACTACCGGTGTTCTACCGTAGTAACCTTTCAAATTTTTTTTTCTTTCATAATAAATAGAAACAAAATAGAATATTTACTGTACTGTGTGATTCTTGAAAAAAAAAAAAAAAAAAAAAAAAAAAAAAAAAAAAAGGAGAAAAAAAAGGAGAAATAGAGAGAGAGAGAGACGAATGGTAGGTTATATCGTCTTTGAATTTCGTACGCCTATATATAAACTGTAATAATCTCCCAGCCGCCAAGCAGTGTCCGCCATCGTCAGACGATGGTTGACACATGCAGTAGCTGTCCCTTAATCCAGGATCGTACCGAGTGCTCATACCACAGTTTAACGAAGGATGGGAGACGTAACTTTCTTATAGCAGGCCGTTAGACCGGCATACAGTGTACAGCTAATCGCGAGGCCCCGAGCAGTGGCCGCAGGCCTGGTGGCTAGAATGCGCGGTTGTCCGGCTTGCCTGCGGGCTGTCTGAAGCCGGTTGATTGCAGGATACTTTCGACGAACAATCTTCTGCCGTGGGGACTGGAACCAGAGGAGACAGGGAACAAAACGCAGCTTGGCCGGTAAAGTAGACTTCACTGCGCCCGCTGCCCCCTCGTTATTATGGTGTCCCTTGCCGACTGCCTCAACTCTGGCTACATCGGCCCCACTCGGTTCAGGTCACAACCAGGGTTGTGATGTAATTTTGGTGCGTCCGTAGACAATGCTATACGGAGGTGCCTTTCAAGATCTTAGGTACGTGTAGATCCCGAGAGATACACTTGTTATCAGAAAGTCCAACAATATAGGGGCTTATAGGGGATCTCACAGGGGACTAACGATAAGATTGATACGGTGTTTTGTACCTCTAAGTACTGATAACGTAAACGGGGTATTTCTGGTACAAAGGTCTTGGCATTTCCGGCAGAAACTTTAAAAAGGCACCTCCGTACCACCGCCTGAATGGCGTTTCATTCACCCGAACTTCGATCGCGCCGAGCTGCGAAGGACCCTAATCTTTCCCTCCTCCTTCCTCCCCCGTTTGTTTCTTTCTCTTTTTTTCTTTTTTAAAGGGGGGGGGGGGGGGGGGGGGGGGGGGGAGTTGGGGGTTGAGGGTTGAGGGTTGGGGGTTGAGGGTTGGGGGTTGTCTACTCTTTTCTCTTTTTCCTTTTTTTTTTTTTTTTTTTTTTTTCTTTTTTCCGGTAGTAGCAGTAGTAGTACAGGAAGTGTCCAAAAGTCTGAGCCCTCCCACGCCCACATACACAGCGCCCTGTTTTTAAACGCGTGCATCCCCACTATTACACTATATAATTATATGAAAAGTACTTTTATATGTAAATAAATACTTAAAAAGGCTAAATTAGTATTCTTTTCTATATTGTATACATAATATATATATATATATTTATCAGTAGTTTTATAGAAATTATAAGAAAAGAATAATATATTTATATACTTAAGTATATTAAAAAAATAGGTATAAAAATCCATATCAAAAAAACTATTTCAATATTTTAGTAACTAGAAATAGTTTTAAGTATTTCTTGCTTTTTAATATTATATAACGTTATATCAGAGGACGTTATTAAAGTTAAAAGGATATAATTTCGTTGAAATTCTAGCGATTTCACATACTAATCTAAGAATTTCTTACTTTCTAAATCCTTTAAGGATTATAACTCTCTAAGTAAAGATGCCATAAGTCTAAGAAAAAATATATTATATATACTTTACTAAGAATAACTATATATAGAAATTATAAGTATAATTACTACCTACGTTCTTTTTATATAACTTTATAAAGTAGGTGAGTTTTGGTGTAAAACGCCGGGTGGGCTCTGACTTTTGGACAAGAACTGTAGTAGTAGTAGTAGGAGTGGTGGTGGTAGTATTTTTCTGGTCTCCCTATTTCCCTTCATTCCCTCGCCTCCCCTCCACGGACGAATCGCCGGTGGTGTCCGGTCCACTTGGGTGACGCATACCGTACACCAATGGCTCTACAACAGCCTCTCGGGAAATGAAGTGTTGCGGCCAGGGGCTATCGCTGTGGTTGTTAGCATTTGATATGTCGCTGCCGCGTGCGTGTTCGGATACCGCCGTCGCTTTCGCCTCCTAACGTCCCCCGCCCCGCGCAAAACCATTCATTTCGTGGGCTTATATTTATTATTGATTGGTCATTCCGGTAGTGGCCCGACGTTCAATGTAATCCCCTGCGTTATACGGCGGCCTTGCCGCTGGCGGTGCAGCCTTGTTCTGCGGCGGCTCGTGTCTATCGAAGGATGGCATACGCTTGGAAACCCCCGGTCTTTCCATTCCAGGATCGATGGGGGCTTATGGTCTCTATACTGAAAACCCCCTAAGCATAAGTACGAGCAGCTGCTGTGCCTATTGTCCCAGTCGAGATAGACCGACTGTCTTGTTTGCTTACCTACGTCTTGCTACATCTTCCGTCGGAGAGCCGGCATGATGATCATTCCTGGCATCGTCACAATCCTATGGGCTGCCACCCTTGTTGGGAGCGTCGCCTCCGTACCCTTACGGCCTAGCCGAGCGGGCTGCTGTGCGTCGACGTCGCGGGGGAATTCGGCATCGACGTCGGGGGGGGATCCGGCATCAGGGCCGGGGCGGAAGTCGGCATCGAGGTTGCTGCCAGGTCGCATCACAGTTGGCTACAGGACTGTTCATCCAGTAAGAGCTCTTTTTTTCCTTTTCTCCCTTTTCTCCCTCTTCTCCCGCCTCCCCTCAACAGGAGGATTAGCGCCAATATAACACCGAAGACTTACGAATCAATTAGGCTCAAGCAAGGTCGTATAACACGGAGCATAAACTTGTTTATGCCCCTAGCCTAGCACGTGGCGGCGCACAAATCGGACACGGCGTTTACCTAACACCTGGGCCTGCGCAGTGGGTCGGGAACCCCGGTGATTGGTACGCACATGCCACAACCCACCACTAGACGAAGTCGGTGCTTAAGCCTGACCGCGATTCTCTATGCAGGTATTGTCACATAACCGCCAGCGGTATGGCTGTTGAGAACGTTGTCAAAGCCTGGATCCCGGAAAAGACCTGGTGGGATATCGAGAAGCAGTATGACTGGGCGTATAAGCAAATCTTCAACAACAAGAAGGTTACCAACGCGGTGTTCAATCGCGCCCTTCGATTGTCCAGGATTGCCAAACCCAGCGATTCCAGTATCAAATTTACAAAGGGGGCCAAGCAGCTGCTCATCCCAACCTTCCTCATCAACGACAGTAACCTAGATTTCAAGGTCGATTGCAGAATGGATTGGAAGCGGCTCCCTGATAACACGGTCGTCGACTACCGAGGCTGGACTAAAAATGTCATCGGGATCCCACAGTGAGAGGAGGAGTGTGGGGATCCGCGCTACTGCCATGGGGCCTTCCCTCGGGCTCTTGGACGCCGTTGCTTTGTCGATCTCTTTAAGTGTTCTATATGTTTAGGCCCAGGATATTCATCAGGTTTCATGGGACGTACGTACCCCATCGAGGGCAAGGAGTTTGGCTTGATCGATTTAATGGAGCTATCGGGATATTGAATCAGGTAAAGGGGAAATGAAGGGAAGAAATAAATATAAGCTAGCCGAGATCGACAATTGCCGTTGCTGGCCACACGGCCCCCCGCCCCGGCTCCGTGACATTACGGCGTACACCACGAATGCTCGGCGCTCATTCCGTCCACAACATGAATGCACTGTGAGTACTTTCTTTTGTTTTGTAGCTTCTTCCCGTGTCTTCTCCTGAGAGAGGTCTTTGGCGTCTCTGCCTCTCTAATGGACTGGACACCTCTGCTTGGCGTCAATGTAACAGGGCTTCCTCGCCCTGTACGCGCCGCCGCAAACCCCGGAGCCGGTCGTCAGTGGGTTGTGGGCAATCGACAGGCGGGCTTCTCTGGGGCTGACACATCGTTCACAGCCCAACGTCAATCTACGGCTGCGTGGCGTCCGTGCCAAGAAGGAGCAGGCTTTCTGCATCATTCTTGTGTCTTCTTCCGTTCCATCCGTTTCTTCCACTTCTTGTTGTTTCTTTCTTCCACTTCTTCCCTTCCTTCTATTCCCTTCGCCCTCTCTACTGCTCACCCACCCAGAATGCCGCCGAGATCGCCGGTTGAAGACACCGACCGAGTTCCCGATGGGGTACCTAGTCTTGGGTGCCGGAGATGGAGACGGTGGTAGGGCTACTATAGGAGCTGAATATGGGTGAGATGGCAACGTGCTGGTTGAGGAAGTCATCGTTGGAGTCAACCTGGACCTCCCTGTTGCTTCTGTAGTCACGACGGGCGGGCCTGTCCTCCTCCGTGGGCAGCACGTGCATCTGAACGGTCTTGGGCATGACATGCGCTGGTAGAGCGTCGTACTGTGCTGTGTTGAGAATTCTGTAGGAACCATCCTCGTTCACAGCGACGACGTCATTGAAACGCTGAGGGTAAGGGGCCGGCTTGGAGACTATAGTAGCGGCGGCGGCAGCAGCAGCAGCAGCATTAAGTAGGCTGATGAATATGGTGATAAAGAACGACCGTCTCATCTTTGATAACATGTAGACAACGGCTGGTCTGTTGATAAGTAGATGACAGAGAGTGATGGGCGTGAGAACGTGTTGGCGAGTGGTGGGCTAAGCGAGAGAAACGAGCGTACAGCGCAGGGCGTAGGGTGGTGAGAAGATGAAGTGTTCCCGAGGAAGGGATGGACGGCTGCAGCCGTTCATACATAAGATGCTCTCGGACGTCATGCTCCTAGTATGATGCACTCCATTAGAGTTTCGCTACCCGGGTTGTGTCGTCCAGCTATCCGGGGCTTTGTGAATTATGTGAACTAGGCTTTTCTACGTAGATCCCACAAGAATTAAGACGGAAAAGAAAATTAATACATTTAACTATACATATATGTATACATACATGTATATATACATGCATGGGTACCCTAACTTTGTAAGAATTCTGAATGTAACTACTCACTGATTCAATATAGGTTTATAAACGTAAAATATAGTCTAAGTTTTATGATCTAACATTTGAGGCTGAGGCTCCAGAGCATTGACTACTACAGTACTACAGTACTACATACTACAACTACATGTAGTATGCAGTATACTACATACTACAAGTTATAATACATTTTACCTATATTATTAAATATAACATAGTATATGAATATTAATAGTTATAGCTAAGTTTTTATTAGTTACAATTATAAAAGATTTGTTTAATTAATTAAGAATAATAAAGATATCTATGTAATTAAATTAAATATATAGTATTACATATATAATATTATTATCAGTTATACCTTATCATTAATACTACTATTATTAGTTATACAATTAATAATTAGTTATTTAATAACTATAGAAATAAAACATGTTATTGAATTACTATTAGTTAATCAACTATAATTAAACTAACACTTCTAGAGCTGTAGTCTATAGTATTATACTACAGTACTACGGATTTAAAAATGGTGCTGTAGTATACTACACTCTTACTACAGCCCCACTGTAGTATACTACAACGAAAAATCCAGTACTACAACTACACTACACTACATGTAGTATGTAGTATACTATGTAGTACTTGTCAATGCTCTGACTAGTTACATCTCTTAGAATGAGGAGTACTTTGTAGAATGTGAAAAGGTATAGGCCTACAGGTTACATCGTGAGGTATAAGCATCGATGTAATTGGACTGTTAAAGGAACTATGATTACTACCAAAAGTGCTTTAATTAGTATTAGGCGTGGGAAACGGTATCCGTTAGTGGGGCCGATATCCCTCCACTGACATTCGTCTCCAAGCCTGCTCCATACGTTAGTCGCGCTATGTTGCTGCCCGGACGTCGAGCTCGCTCGGTCTTCCTCCTAAAAGCCATCGCCTAGGTGGCTCACGGAATGGGCGACGCGACTGCGGCCAGGCGTGGATACCGGCGATGTCGGTGTCTTGTCGTGTCGCGTTGACCTAAAATTAGCTCTCTGCGAGGTCGAGAGGCGAGTGGGGGGTTTTGTTGGACAGTTGAGCAAGCAGAAAATTTCCCAGCGTTGGCCCGTACGCGTTTGAGCATGTGCGCCTCGAGGACGGTTACCGTACGTACGGAATCAGGTTACCATGGTACGTATCGATAGATATCCGGATGAGGCATCCGAATCCAAGACGAGGCAGCATGGGGAGGCTTGCGCGCTAAGAACATGGCGTCAGTTGACAAATGACGGCTGTCCGGGTCGACCGAGGGCGATAGCAGGCCGGTCGTATCCCAGTAAATCGCTAGGCTAATTTATATATATGCTAATCTCAATCTCAATCTCCCAGCCGTCAAGCAGTGTCCATTCCATTATAGGTCGTCAGACGATGGTTGATACATATGGTAACCGTCTCTTGATCCAGCATCGTACCGAATGCTTATGCCACAGTCTAACGAGGGGTGGGAGACGCGACTTTCTTGCAGCAGGCCGGTAGACCAGCAGACAGTGTACAGATGACCGCGAGGCCCCGAGCAGTGGCCGCTGACCTGGGAGCTCAAACGCGCGGTTGTCCAGCTTGCCTGCGGACTGTCCGAAGCCGGTTGTTTGCAGACTCAAGACTTCTGACGAACAATCTTCCGCCGCGGGCACCGGAACCGAAGGAGACAGGGAACAAAAAAACACCTTGATCGGCAAAGTAGACTTCACTTCCCCCACCTTGACCCCTTGTCTTTCTAGTGTCCCTTGCCGACTGCCTCACCTGCGGCTACCTCGGCCCCACTCCGTTCAGATCACGACTAGGGTTAGAACGTAATTCTGGTGCCCAGACAATGCCATGCCATCGCCCAAATGGCGTTTAATTCACCCCAACATCGATCGCGACGCGCGTGAAGGCCCCAAATGTCTTCCTTTTCCCCTGTTTACCTCTTCCTCCCCCTTCTTCTTTTTTTTTTTTTTTTTTTTTTTTTTTTTTTCTTCCCTCCCTTTTGTCTTTGACCGGGTTTGGTGGATATGCACCCTTGCTAAGGTTCGAATGGCACTACCGGTTAGTTATAGCCCCGCAATTGAATGTAAGATGGAACCCAATCCGCGACGGTTCCCGGTCATCGTGTAACTGGGCCAGTACGGCAGAGATGGTCTCTCGCTGGTCATATATTCGACCTTACACAGAGCAAAGTGAAGTCTTCTGCGTGAGGTAGCTGTGTAGGAAAGAGCGACAGCATCGTGGCACCATACGTCGACAATGGCTTTCAACGTACTAGTTGCGTCTTTGACGTTAATGGGGAGTAGTCTTTCGTTCCTAACGACGTTTGGCGCATTGATCTCCATCGGTCTCCACCGCACCCGGCGCCGGTCTTTGCGCCACATCCTCATTCTTAACCTCATGGTGGCTGGTAAAGTGGTTCCCGTCAAGATTGTTCCGAGAGGACGAGAGGGCTAACGGCTTCCGAATGAAAAAAGAATTCATTAACTCAGCCAACAACACCATCTCGGGGATTATATACATCAGGGACAAAGGGTTACAACGTGGAACAGCCTGTGTCCTGAACAGCGTGATTGGTCAACTGTCAGTGCAAGCGTCCGATTTTTCCATCCTCGCCATCGCCATTGCCACACTTCTGGTAGTAAAACAAAAAACGTCCATGGCGGAGGGGACGTTCCTCGAGAGGGTCTCCATCTGCTTCTGCGTGTGGATCGTCCCTATTGCTACCAGCGTCGCGGCGGCTGGCATCGGCGTCGTGGGGCCCGTCAGCGGGAACTGGTGCTGGATAACGTGGGACCGGCCAGATCTCCGATTTGCCCTCACCTACGTTTGGCGTCTGTGGATCATGTTCGCCACCGTTTCCATCTACGCTTACGTCTGGTGGTACCTCGGCCAACGCCTTCGCCCCGCTGCAATGGCGCCAGCTTCCTTGGGCTGGACCGGAAGCTCGACGAGCACTGCCGCTCCGTTGACAGCACGCCACACGACGGTGAGTCGATTGGACGTGGGTTGGCCACGGCCGCAAGTCGCGTCTATGGGTGGACGACACCCTCCACGGACCGCAGAGCCGCTGGGATACGACCTTCCCCCCCTGGCGACGGACGCCACAGCGTTTCCTGTTACGAGGTGTTTGACATCAGACAGCAGTACCAGAAGCATGCTATCGCCGTGTAATCCTCAACCATGGGGAGATGATTACCTGGCGGACTCCCGACCGAGCTCTAGCCGAGACGTCGGCGCGAGTGGTAAGGTAATGCTGCCGAACCTCACCGCTGCAGCGACGGCTCATCATTCGATTGACGAGCAGACCCGGAGATTGGAGCGGCGTATCAAGCGCATGATGCTCCTCAACTCGTATCCCATCTTGTATATCCTGCTCTGGATCCCCGCCCTTGTGAACAGAGTGATAGAAGCGTCTGGGGTCGAATCGCATGGCTTGCTGCTGGCGGCTCTGCAGAGCTCGAGCCAGTTCATCGGCTTCGCTAATGCGGTGACGTACTGCCTCCATGAAAGCTTGGGGCGAAGATCGAAGGAGAATACTGTTCGCTAGCCACTTAGGACATCATGAGCCTGCAGCTGGGGTTCATGCATTCACAGGGCTGGATAGCTTACAACCCGGTCCTTTTCGTTAGATTGCAGTAGGACGCCTTTGGAAACGTCCCTTGTTACGCCTGACAACCATTACGCTTGACAACCATTAAGCTTTTATACTCTGCGCTGCTTGGCGCACGGAATAGTCAGTGTCTAAACTAGTTAATAATATATGTTGAGGTTGTTAGTTGATTAATAGACTGTCCTAGGCGGGAAACTGATTAGGTTCTTAGCCTCTGTAGCTGAAGCTTGACTCCTGTGCTAATGATCATGATAGGACCTGCTGAGCACGGCGGACGCGTTATGACGCGTATTGAAACAGGTCGTTGGTACGGAGTAGTAGGCGTACCCGTCTCGCGCCACAGCAGCGACCCCGGCATTCCCAGCTTAGCCATTCCGTTCCGTCGAGGTTCCCCATTCGTGTAGGGGTGGTCAGAGAGGAAAGAGATGGGCGGCTCATGGGGTTTCTGGCCGACGGTTGTACACCTGTGGCTGGATGTACCCCAACGCCCAGCAAGTATACCCCGCCCTATATAGATATCCCCCTGTCAATCGGACAACCCGAGACGTTGGATCAAAGTGTTTCTATGTTCCACAGCGTCCCGTACTCCTTTCGGCTTTTCTACATATTCTTTTCCCTTCTTCCTTGCCCCTCCCCCCCCCCCGTTTTTTGTTTTAGAAAAAAAAAAAAAAAAAAAGGAGGGAATTTCTCGGGTCTCTGTGTTAAAGCCCCTATGAGTACGAGCAGCAGCAGCAGCGGGAGGTGCCTAATGACTCGGTCGAGACGGTGTGACGGCCCTACGTCCTACATGCCGAGCTCAGTCATTAAGCATTTACTCACCAACATTTTACTACATACTCTATTAGAGAGCCCCTGTGATGATCACTCCAAGCATCATCACTATATTATGCATGTGGACTGCAGCCCTTGCTGACAGCGTCAGATCTCGTCAACGACAGGGACCTGAGTATTCAGGTCGGTTGCTGAATAACGTACAGAGGGGAAGGGGTTTGGTCTGATCATGGACGGTTTGATCTCGGAATCGCAAGGCACTCGGTTGAGTAGAAAGAAAAGAAACAGAAGGAACAGAAGCTGGCGTTGATATCGCTGTTGCAAGTGGAGCCCTATGGCTACCGGTAGCCCACTAGAGGCTAGCAAAGCCCCACAAAACAACGGTGTGTGCGTGAAACACCACCCTCCTCCCCTGCTGCACGAACGCTCCACGCTCGTTCCGTCCACAACATCGTTATACTGTGAATAGATTTTCTCCTGCTTTCTTCCTGTTTCTCCTTTTTCCAAGAGAGCTCTTTGGCTTCTGCGTCTGTTCGACGGCCAGATATCTATCTCTGCTTAGCTTCGATGTAACAGGGCTTCTACGCCCCGTACGGGCCCCCGCAATGGTTAGAAGAGTTTTGCCTGTTCGGGCCGCGCAAGCTTTAGAAACGAATTTTTCTTCTGTAGATGTTAAGAACGAATCTTATTCTCTATATATATTTAACTATAAATCTTATGTTTGTATCTTTGGAAAGATCCTAAGTATTACTAACTACCTCGATTCGGCCGACTAAAAACACTTATAGGACGCCCGCCGCCCTCATCACCCGCGCCCGCCGACCAAATACCATTTGCATACGCTGGTGGTAGGGTGTCCAAACCACTTTGGGCTCGGACGAAACCACGACTCTCCGCGCAACGGCCGTTCCGTCCATCTCAGCACGCCCAGTCAACCCTATACTCCCTCCGCCGCCCACAATGCAGCCGAGACCGCCCATCAAAGACAACCACAGGCCTGGCTGGTCCCTTCTGCCTTAGTAGTGGAAGCCCTGGCCGTTGCAGTAAGGGATGGGGTAGACGGTGCTGTTGCAAAGTCGTATGACGCCTTTGACGAAATCGAGATTGCCGAAACTTTGGTCCGTGTAGGTGTCGGAAATGAACGGCGTACTGGTTGGGCGATGACTGCAGCCGGTGAGCAGACGCCCGGTAACACGGCGGACGAGCGGCTGCGACACGACGAGGCCATGCTGGCCTTCGGGGACGGTGAAGCTGAGGGTCTGGCTGTCGGAAGTCGTCCACCGCTGGGCGTAGTTGACTGAGAGAGACATGCTTAGGGCCACCTTTGCGAAAGCAACGTTGGCGGTTGAGCTAACACTGACTGAATTCCCAACGGAGTAGCCTTTGGCGACGGAGGCGGTGGCAGTGCCACCATGGGAGCTCAATATGGGCGAGATGGCGACATCCCAGTTGAGGAACTCCTCATCGGACTCAACCTGGACCTCCGTGCTCCTTCCGCAGTCGCGACGGGCGAGGCCGTCCCCGTCAGTGGACGGCACGGTCATCTGGACAGTTCTGGGCGCAACACGCGCCAGTAGAGCGTCGTACTCTGCCGTCTTGAGAATTCTGTGGGAACCATCCTCATTTACAGCAACGACGTCATCGAAACGCAGAGGGTAAGGGGCTGGCTGGGAGACGGCAACAGCGGCAACAGCGGCAGCAGTACTGAGTAGGCCAAGTGTGGTGATGAAGAACGACCGTCTCATCTTGGATGACATGTCGACAGCGAACGCCTAGTGTATTGATGGATGGACGATAGAGAGTGATGGGGGGTAAGAAGATGTCAGCTAGTCGTGGACTAGATGAGGGAAACGAGCGTACAGCGCAGGGCGCAGAGTGGTGAGGAGGCGAGATGTTCCCGAAAAGGGACTGGGCGGCTGCAGCCGTTCATATATACCTTCGGACGTTGTGCTGCTGGCATCACTTACTCCGTCGATGCTTAAGGTAAAGGTAAGGTAGTGTAATGAGACCTGTTTAGTACCAGTATGGACTGGCTGTTTTGGCAAGGTACTGCGTACATAGACGATCTCATGCCGGGGCACAGACGGCACCCAGGTCCAGAATGGCGGCGGCGGCGGGGCGGGGCGACATGACGAGGCTCGCGAGCCAGAGGGGGCTCACTAGGGTTCGTACGGCCCGACGACGGATTACCTTGAACCCGGCGAACGAACCCTTTCGAGCGAAGAAAGCCTTCTGACAGGGAAGGTCTAAGATGGGTTTACTTTCCCTTCCCCTCTTTCCCTTTTCCCCTTTCCCTTCTTCTTTTCTTTTCCTTTCCGTTCTTATCATATTGTCTGCTTCGGCAGGGGCATGAGGGGGGGAAAAAAAAAACCAAAAAAAAACAACCAAAAACAAAAAAAACCAAAAGTGAAAAAATGGAATGGGCGGACGAGGCCTGACACGCGGACGGTTGGAAAGGACAGGCGCGACGCGCATGACGGCCGTCGCGGGCTGCCGAACGTAATCTGGATGACTTTCGGGGCTGCCGAGGCCCCGCAAAGGACCTGCCCGGCGGCTGCAAGAATCACGGTTGAGATTCTAGAGGACGGGGTTTCTACAAAAGAATGTGTAGAAATTCTGCTCGGTGACAGGGGCACTCCGCCCGAACACTAGTATAGTGACTTGTCCTAACGAGTGCCGTGGACCGGCTGTGGGGCTCGGAGCCACGCTGCCCATGACCTGCAAGGCTATGGCTTCTCGGCAGCGCATCTTGAGCCTAGACAGCGGGCGAGACGGCGATACGTAGGCTTGTGATCGAATGGGTATGCGCGCCTCAGGTGTCGAGGACCGAAAAAGACGGGAAGCCATCCGTCGCTCAACGTCGCCCCACAACGACGATCCGGGTTTGATAACGGATGGAAGTGAGAAGTCCGCGACACGAAAGGCGGACATAGCAGGACGCGAATGAGCTTCGCTGTGTCCGGCGGCAACTCCGGCCATCTAGTAAAGAAACGACGTTTGCCCAGCGGCCCATAGCTGGTACGTCTAGTGGATGCAGTAGGCAAACACCACGAGCTAGCTGAAGCCGGATGGGTCATGGATGCACATCGCTCGGTGATTTAACACGCCACCGTGCTAGCTGCCGGAAGAACCATACCTTACTACCGGGCTATGGATATAAGACTGGATGGGTCACCTCACACTGTCATGTTCGAGGCTCCCGCTTGCCCTCGTCGCTACTCATACTTGTCACAGGTGCCTCTTTACTTCTTCACTGCTGCTATACGTAGCCTATCCGCTGGGCAGAACGTTCTTTATCGTCCTACACGAACGGTCAGGTTCCTCTTATTGCTTCCCACGGTGCAACGGTAGTAGCGGAGCATCGAACCTTTCTGTGCAACGATGCAGCTATGTTTCTTGCAGGCCGCCGTCGGCTTAGCCCTCCTATCTATCGCGTAAGTCCCAGGCATCTCTAGCCATTCAACCCAGACCGTCTCACCTAACATCCCCAATGTTCTGCCGACCTTCACGATAGCTGCGCGTGTCACAATGGCGGCGGTCCCAACCTACGTATCACCGCAAAGGCATGCGGGCTATACGCCTCAAAGCAGCACCAGTGGGGCAAGGGCGAGTTTGACGCCTCCTCTGGACAGGTATGAACATCTCTGGCGACCCAATTGGACAACGGCCCTGACGCATCGACCAGTGTGTGAAGTCTACCGACAGCGACCAGATCGCAGGGAAAGAGTGGGAGGCTGCCTGCCGTGAGGTTGCTGATACCGGCTTCGAGTGCGCCGACGGGCAAGGACTGTATTGCAAAGCACCTCCTAATGAAGTTCGTGGGCGTTGCTGAGCGACTACCTAGGGAGGGATGGCATCTGTCAGACCAATGGCGCTTTTCTTTCCTTCCTTCTTTTTTCTCTTTTTTCTTTCTTTTTTTTTTTTTTTTTTTTTTTTTTTTTTTTTTTTTTTTTTTTGGCTTCTCTCTCTGGCGTTTGGGGCGCTCGAGACATCCGTCTACTTGACGCAGGAGGCTGTAACTATCCCGTCAACTATTGAGTAACGCCAAGTCCATGAAATCTCTCCTAACACCCGCTGATAGACGTATGTAACTCGTTGAAAAAGGATTTTCGATCTTCCCGACCAATAGCCAGTTTGCTACTACTCCACATCCTTATATAGTAGCGTGATAGCGTTAGTAAGAGACCTAAACCTTAAATGTAACGTCGGGGGGGCCCCTACTTAGTAAGTGTGAGATACGATAAGTGACAAGGCTGCCGAGAATGGCGTGAACAAGTTCTAGAGCGGCGATAGAGATGGGATTAGGGATGCATGGCTGCGTCGTATTCCGGTCATCACCACCCTTGTCATCTGGGCCCGATGTTCTGTTCGTGGGAGCCGGCCTCTGGTACCCGATCACCGCCTGGTCGATCTTGTTAGAACCTTTGCCCAACCCCTAATGAGGAGAGTCCTCTCCCGGGTTCTTGCAGTCTTCCGGTTCTGGATCCGACTGAGGCCGTTCCGGCCATCCGGTCAAAATTATCAGGACTCGGGGCGACCGTTCATGCGCGTTACACCTCATGCTGATTCACTTCAGAGAGGAGATGGAACGCAGGAGCCGATGGCTAGGGTCCCCACCTGGTCCTTAAACTCGTATATACGGCGATTCCATGATGGAGATGATAGCTAGCAGTGTAATCAGCAGTTGACGGCAATGCCGAATGACCAAGGGTTCGTGAGCGTGGACGGGCACCCCGAAGACGGCTCAGCCGGGAACAGCAGGGAGGTGGCTGTGGTGGATTATGGTATATAATGTGTTAGCTCTATCGCTGATGCTAACTCTCATAGCTGGCTTCTTCACTACTACTCTACCTGCTCTGAGATTGCCTGTTGTAATATTTTGACTTGGACGAGCCGGCCCACACAGGTGAAAGTCAGATCTCTATCTCCCTCCATCGCCCTCCATCTCCCTCCATCTCCCTCCATCTCCCTCTCTCTCACGGAGAGAGCAACAAGCAAACAAACGAATAAAAGATAGACCGCTATCTGGCCAACAGAAAAGATGCAGTATTCCGTTTCTAACGTGTGGTCTGTTGCACTTTGGGGTGCGTTCGCCTTCCAGGCTGCTACAGCACAGAACGGGAAAGACCTCCTGCCGGGAGACAAGGACGTGTGGCAGGGTATGAGGGGCGTCGATACTTGGCGCCTCCCCTCCGATACGGTCAAGAGCGGAGGCAAAGACGGTTCAGGTGAGTAATAACCGCACACCTCAATCGCCAGATCAGAGCTAGCAGTTTATGAATTAACCAATGCTCCAGTGACCCTCAAGGGCTCCAAAGATCGCGTCCGATGCGGCGTCGTCCCTTATGACAAGGACGGCAACGTGTGGATGATTCCGGCGAATGGCAACTTCGACCAGGTCGGCTACATCCTGCCACGGGGAGGCTACGACTCACGCCACGACACCACGCTCGCTGATTGTGTGTTGCGGGAGGCGAAGGAGGAGGGCGGCCTCATTATTGACGTCAAGTCTCTAATCCCTCTTGGGCGCAGCAATCATGGGTCGGTGTACTGGTATAAAGGCAGCGTGACGAAGCATGTTAAGCCGACGGAGCCTCGGCCCCAGCCCCCGAAGGCGTTCAAGCTCAACGACGCGCGCAAGGAGATGCAGAAGCCGGCCGGTAACCCGAAGAAGAAGGCGGACATGCGGATGGCTCTCCACACCTCCGTCTCAGCGGACGACTCCAAGAATTATCGATCGACATTCAAGCCACTGGAGCGAGGTGGCCCGAGCAGACCGGCTGGCCCAAGCAGACCGGCTGGTGGCCAAGGCAGCCGCCAAACGAAGCCTACCCGGTGAAACCCAGGGTGAATCAATCAAAGGGCGCTCGCTCTTCAAAGGTGGTGATCGTAAAGGGGCGTCTAAAAGCATTGTTGGAATCGTTGAGCCGACTCAGGAGGAATCAAGTGCGCGGCCTCAGTTTGAAAGTCAGACGTGTGTTTCCTTGTGGCGCGAGAAAATGTGGCTGGTCATGGGGGAATGGAACCCGACGTAGAGCATCGTTTTCTTTTGTACGGCATCTGCGTGGCTCGCAATCGTTTTCGGGGTTTGGGGAGGAATAGGGTAAGGTAATATATTATTGGGTAACAAAAAGAGTCACCAGGTAGCAAAATAAGCGGCATGTTGGCCACTATGACCGGCGTAGTGACAGCTTTTCTTGGATGCCCTCCCTTCGTCTCTGTCGCTCATCTCTCGCCTGCCGCCCATCCTCTGTCTCTCTTGTCTCCTGATTTTGTTCCAGCTCTCAAGCCATCCACGACCTCTGAGAGGTGTTCATATAAAGCCTGAGGTATGCTGCGAAGCCGAATGATATCTCCTAGCCAAATGCATCAATCACTTGTTTTGCATCATTCATCATGGTCACAACACGGGTCGGGGAACGAGATCGTGAGGCGGCCTCGGCGCTCATACCATGTTAAGGCGTGTTTTCGTGGCGGTTCATTGTGCGGGTATGGCCCATTTGTACTGGTTCAGCACTCGGAGCTGTGTGGCGAGTCGACTGCATCACTTGTGCTACGATACGAATGAAGTCGCAGTCTTAGCAGCTATCGTGACCTCTGAGACATGTGGGGTTAGTTATTATGGTTCAACCCCGGTGTCTGTGGAGAAGCTAGAGCCCAGCCCCTTCCGGCCGGCGCGGAAACAACTGCTGGGGAAACGGCGGTGTCGAGTCTCCGATCGAGGCCCCGGCCACGGGGTTCCCGAAGGCACCGGATGAGATTGCACTGGGCCCGCCCAACTTTACCCCACCCCAAACCCACCTCCGCATCTAATTAGATTTTTGTTCCTTCCATCTGTTGCCTCTGCCGTGCGGGACCCTTTAGATCCTTCTGCACTGCATTTAGCGTATAGCAGCAGGTCTCCAGCTTCAACGAAGGCAAGACTGTTGCGATGCTGGTACTGGTTAACGTCCGAGCTTGTCAACTCGTAATAATTGGCTCACCTTTGGCCTAGTCGAATATAAGTACGCGCTTGCGCCCTGACTTCGGGGTTCCCGACACGAAGGGTCCCAGCAAGCCGTTGACAACAGACTCATCGCCCTTGACTCCGATGTCCTTCCCCGAGATTTCGGTGTTGCCGTCTAGGAGTCCTCCACCTGGCCCGGAGGGACATGGCAAATTCCTTGCAGCGCAAAGCAGGCCAGGCTTGCGGCCCGTTGCAGATTTCACTCTCTTTCCATCCGTCTGAACCACCCGAAACCACCTTGCACAGCTCGGAGAAGCCCTCGCAGGGGGTCCTTCTGGGTATTCGGTTAAGGCAGGATGTTGTCAGTTATATCGCCTGTTGGGGGACATGTTAGGAGGCCATCTTATTATTAGGATCTCGCCCATGGGGCCTCGTCCGGCTATAAGTATCATGCCATCGGCGCCTTCTGCAGTCAACGTTCACCAGCCTCACGGCGTATTGCTCCTCACACAGATTAACTGGTTACCTCTGACCACAATAGGTACTGGGAACCGGGGCGTCTGTCAACCCTAACCCTCTGACCACCTCATTCCTCCATTCCACCACCCCCGATCGAAGCTTCGATGCGGTCTACCATGTCCCACAGCTGGATGGCCAGCTTCTCGGGCCTGCTTGTGCTGTTCACTATAGTTACAAGCGTCCTGGCCCAGGACCTCGGCATTAAGCTCGACAGAAGCGCCTACGAGAACGCCCAGCGCGTTATCTACTCGTCTAAACTCACGTTCACAGCAGACACTGCCACCCTCTTCACGGACGACCAACTCTACGGGCTTGCCAGCCTGGCCCACACGCAAATGCAGTCCAAGTTCCGGGCCGACGGTATCGATCAGAAACTTCAGCCGAGCATGATGGCAGCTATGGCTCTCGGGAACGACGTCTACCTGTCCTCGAGCTTAAAGGGTGGCTGGTTTGTGTATAACAAGTTCGCCGATTCGCGTTCCAAACCGGAGGTCCGACTTGCTCTTGAGCGATGCCAGGCACAGCTACAAGCTTCTAAGAAAGTCCCCGTCAATAAGGAGCACCAGACCCGAGCGAGCTGTGCGGAAGTCTTCACAGTTCACCAGGTAAGTCCATCCTACTGCAGGTTAGCCACACCATGTTGAATGGTGGGTCTGCCGCTAGATGCTTACTATTACTAACACGCCGTTTCAGTATAACTTGGATGATGAGGTGTCGCAGGAGGCGCGGAGACGGCCCCCAGCCACGCGCATTGTGGCCTTTGGCAAAGCAGGCATAAGTGGCTCCCTAGGACGTGAGTATTACACCCGTCTCACATTCTGTGGTGGGCAGTGCAGTCGATATGGTGCTGATTTAGATTGTGACACAGCACAAAATGCCTGCGGTAGTGGTGAATCTGTCAATGATAAGGGTCTGCTCACTTGGGGATGCAAGCAGTTCATGGCGAACGAAGGCATTACCGTGGCGCGGAAGCCGGCGAGAAATGCTAACTTGGGCCTTCCGAGGCCATTCCCCACATTCACGAAGAAGCAGATCAGCATAATCCCCGCTACCCGTCCGCGCCCTGCCCAGGGCAGCAGGCCGACTAGAGTGGGGCAGCCATCGCGGCCGACCCGGGCTAGACAACCACCTACACGGCCACACTAGCAGTCCCGTACGGATGGACCTATCGACCTAGCATGATGTGGGACTAGAGGAGGCTAGAACGGGTTAATTGCACTACCACCTGTAGACGATATGAGGGGGGGCGAGCCGTGTGGACGTAGAGGTCGCAACATCGGCAGCGGTGGTGTATATCTGGGTTAGCAAGTCTTACGGCTCTTGGCCTGAACCAATAGCCTACAGTGAGACGGGATTGGGGTACATAT